TCTATCTATCTATCTATCTATCTATCTATCTATCTATCTATCTATCTATCTATCTATCTGTCTGTCTGTCTGTCTGTCTGTCTGTCTGTCTGTCTGTCTGTCTATCTATCTATCTCTTTAGACCAGGTGTCTGACTTCACATTGAAACTGAAAACAATGTTACACCCAAAAGTTTGGCTCAGTGTGAAATGATCTGCTCCTCCACCTCTTTATATGACACACCCCTTTGTGGACATTCAAACTCTTCTGGTATATGGGGCCCTGTTGCTACGGAAACAACAACAAAAACCTCCACTGACACTATAGGACAAGGTTGTTTGGGTGGACAGAAATGTTATCTATGACATTTTAACAATACATACAGTGGGTACGGAAAGTATTCAGACCCCCTTAAATTTTTCACTGGGCCTGCTTATGCTCTCTTGGTTGTTTTGGGTGTAAATGAACTCAAAGATTGTGAGTGTTTTAGTGCATTGTGTTATTAATATGTAGCTGGAGAGATGTCTGGTTCCTCTCGTGCTACAGAGACGGATGGGAATCAAGATTCCTATCTGAAGAGGTGAGTTAAGCTTATATACTACATTTCTAATACATTCAACAAAAAAAGTTTTTATTATAATGAAATATGGCAGACTGGTTTGTATCTGTAAATAAAATTTGGGTTGCTGTGTTATAAATGATATAATTTGAGTATCCATTCACAGGTATTACAGAACCCTTCCAGAAGAGAAAAGATTGATGCTTGAAAAGTCTCTGATGGTACGTTACATTCATTAAAGAAATAGTTCACACAAACAAAAATTGAAATTGTTATTATTTGAATTGAATGAAAGTAGAAAGGAACAGTCAAATTATGCATTTAATTAATAATCATTTATGCATTTAGCAGACGCTTTTATCCAAAGCATTCAGGCTATACATTTTGTTACCAGTATGTAAGTTGAGTCCTTAGGCATTTTTATGAAAGTTTAAGTTTTGGAGAATAAATGAAGACATTTTCATTTTTGGATGAACTATTCTGATAACATCTTTTAAAAATAGGTATTGCAAATTATTTGAGAAATGATAACAAACGTGCTTTCTTCATGCAGAATGCAAATAATGACCAAGCGCACGTCAGTGGTCTTGGGAAGGGACGTGTTGGTGGTTCCAGACAAGGTAAGACGTCCAAATAAATAAAAAATCCAACTTTAACTTATCAGATGTGGGTAATGCTTATGTATTTTTCTGTGTGTGCAGTTCCTGGTCCAAAAAAAGGTACTAAACACAGGACTGGGGCAGATGCTGAAGATAATGAAGACAAAGAATCCAAAAAATCCTCCACGTGCATTATGTTATAACATTGCTTATCATACAGAAAATCATTAAGACTTACCTCACTGATAAACACTTGCCAGTCATAATCATTTCAGTGGATAGAACTTACTGGAAAATGCTAATTTAAATGCCATATTACTATATTGATTTTGTTGTATTAACAGTATTATTTTTATTCCTTAACATTGTTTAATGTTTTTCCCCCCTCTTATTTATTAAGGTGTTATGTGACAACTGATGATGACACTGTGTCACTTCATAAGTTCCGGTTTGAAAATAAACATTAGGCATGGAAAACAGTATGAATCTATATTTTGGCCAGTTTAAAGCAATACTAAATGAGCATTTTGCTAAATTTCTGTGAAACAGGTTTGCAATAAACTTAAAACAGCACTAGCAGATTCAGTGTAGATCACAGTCTGTATACTGTAACATGGTGCTGGATTCACACCAGCGCACAGGCAGAAAAACTATTTTACCCATAGTGCCTTTTGCAACTTTGACTGTTCACACAGAGAAAGTGTGCCAAGTATGAGCAAATATTTCAGTTTAGTGTGTTGTAAAACACAGCTAGACAGCAACACCTCTAAAACAGATGTGAAGATAATAAAATGTGAATAAACATGCTGCAGCTTCAGTTGCTGAACAATGTTTAGCCTGCCAAGATCAAATAAAAGATTTCAGATATTGAACTTATAATAAGTTGTGTTTGGTTAGTCATTACTTGCTTATAATCAGTTTTACTGTATGCTCAAGTATACATAGATGAGACAGACCTGATCACAAGTGAAAAAACAAATAAAAGCATAAGGCCACTGACATTTTACAGGGTTCCCACAACTTTTGAGAAAGGCATTTCCACAAATTCTCCAGTAATTTGCGATTATTTAGGTATTAAAAACATTTTGCAGGTTGCTATCACAAAGAACAACTTTTAGCTAATTAAATAATTTAGATCCGAGCATAAATACCATTAATTTATTCTTTAAAATTGTTTATTTGCAGTATGTTTTTTCGGAATATTTTCCTGTTTAATGAGACATTTTGTGACAATTGATCAAATTTAAAAATCTGCATTACCTACTGTGACATTTTCTACAGCATTATCCAATGCGGTCTCGCATATAAGTTAAAGAAAATTACATACTAGAAAAAATAGACAATTTTTTTCCTTAACATTGTTTCTTTGCAGTATGCTTTTTCTTTTTATATATATATATTTTTCCTCTATTTAATAAGATGTTTTGTGATAACTGATGATAAAATTGAAATCTGTATGCCCTACTGAGACATTTTCTATTGCATTAACCAACTCTGTCACTTCACAAGTTAAAAAAAAAAACTAGAAAATAAAATAGAAAAAGATCTATTGACTATAGAAATTGCTTCTTAAGATTTCACTTTTCCTGAAAATCATAATTTATCCCTATTTCCAGGTTTTTATGGCTGTGGGAACCCTGGGTTTAAAAAAAAAAAAAAAAGATGTACATTTTGTCAGTAATTAATCACCATACTAGATACTGTATATCTGACAAGAAACAAATGTTAAAAAAGCACAAAAGTTTATTTGCTCTGAAAAATAAATGATCTGAACTCAATATTACCACAATCACACATTTATAATTTTGTCCTTTTTATACATTTTAATTCAAAAACTGGAATCATTCAAACGCAAAAGCTTTTTCACCCAATGAATATTCTGGCAAATACAACTCTTCACAGAAAAGCAGGGCAGCCCATATGAAACTGGGATCTATAACATTTGCAATGCATATTTATTTTTATTTATCCCCAATTTATAAATATCTTTCAAATGTATTTTAGCAGCAGTAGTATAAATAGACCCTCCTGATCTCCTGAACCCTGAAAAAGATCTTTGTGTTCAGTCACTGCTGTCATCACCCACCACCATGTGGCTGTACTTCTTCTGCTGTTGCTCCTTAAACGAATCCTTCACCTTTGCCCTCTTCAGACCCCCATCCCTGTGAGACACACAGTAACAAACCTTTAACTTAAAGGGATAGTTCACCCAAAAATGAAAATGTGATGTTTATCTGCTTACCCCCAGGGCATCCAAGATGTAGGTGACTTTGTTTCTTCAGTAGAACACAAACAAAGATTTTTAACACAAACCGTTGCAGTCTGTCAGTCATATAATGTCAGTGAATGGGAATCATGGCTTTGAGAGTCAAGAAAACATACACAAACAAAACCAAATTAAACCCTGTGGCTCGTGACGATACATTGGTGTGTAAAGACACAAAACGATCGGTCTGTGCAAGAAACTGAACAGTATTTATATCGTTTTTTTACCTCTGATTCACCACAATGTCTGAACTGTCCTGAGATTGTAGATAGAGTGTCAATAGTCCATTTGAGAGATAGGTGGCGGTAATGCACTTATAAGTCTGCGATCCACCGTAAAGCAAGAAGAAG